CAATTAAAGTAAAGAACCTCTCGGAGATTTCCACCCATTAGAAGGAAGACCATTTCTAACTCCTTCAAATTACCAAACAACAGAAAACAAGAAACGTCATTAAACTACCCTGGATTTACTTGGAAATTATAAAAAAAAAAGTCATAAACCTATTATAATTGTGTCAATTCAGTCCTAAACTTATTTTTTGATCAACTGAGTCCTAAATTTTTTGCATTTGTACTAATTTAATCAATCCGGCCAATTTTAACCGGAAATCGCTAACATGAATGCCAGGTGTCGTACGTGACGCGACTAGTGATATGGATAATTTTTAATAATATTTTTCATATGTCTTACTATTTTTTTACTTTTCCTTTTTTCTTCATTTTTTTCTTTTTCTTTTCTTCCCTTCTTCCTCTGGCCGATCGCCGAACAAGGGTTGGCGAGGGCGAGCCTTGCCTACCCCTAGCAAGGCTTTGGGTGAGGGCGAGTCTCAGGTCGAGGGTGGCGAGGCTCGCCCTCGCCAGTGGCCAGTGAGAGGGAAAAAAAAGAAAGAGAAAGAAAATGAAAAAAGGAATAAATAAATCGAAATAATATTAAAATATCATTAAAAATTATCCATGTAGCATCGGTCGCGCCACATAGGACGGCCGGTGTCCATGTCAGCGATTTTCCGTCAAAATTGGCCAGATAGACTGAATTGAAAAAAACGCAAAAAATTTAGTACTCAATTGACAAAAAAAAATGTTTAACACTGAATTGGCAATGACTTTTTTAGTAATTTTCCCTCGGATCTACGCACCCCCATCTCACAAGCTATTCCAATTTCATAGCCTTAGCTCCCAAGCAAGACATCAGCATAAATCCTTGCCAATCATTCGCTTCATCATGCAAGAAACCCGCCCTTTAGTCGCCCTTGACCTGGTCTATTGGCTATTGGGTCTGAATAATCAGACAATTACAAGTGACAGGTTTGAGTTTGACCAAGAACAGATAATTCTTGCTCATTCATCAGTTATAATACAGACAAACAGACACAGAGAATGGGGAAGGAGAAAGTGGGTTTGGTGGCGTTGGTGATGTTTCTGTCGAGCTGGTGCGTTTCTTCTTCTCTCGGAGGTGATCTGAGCAGAGGCAATATACCTTTGACTTTCGGGTCGCCGTCATCGTCGCTGGCTCTCAATTGCGTCGGGTCATCCGTTGTCTTTCCACTTCACGGCAACGTTTTCCCAACTGGGTACACTTCTTGACCTGTCTTCACTTCACGTCAGTGTTTGTCAGTTGAATAGAGAGAGAGAGAGAGAGAGAGAGAGAGAGAGAGAGAGAGAGAGAGAGAGAGAGAGAGAGAGAGAGGTGATGTACCTGCACTAGGGCTCCTTCGATGAGTTCTTGAATATCTGTGTGACTCTGTGTTTGTGTTGTTGATGTTTAGAAAGCAGGGGTCATCTCTCACTGTATAACTGTCTTTGGTGATATGGAAATGTCTTTTTTCCTCCAAAAGCTAAAAAAGTTCCGACAGTTTGGCTAGTTACTGCGTTGTATTGCTGTTTCGTTGGTAAGATGACCTGAAGATTCATCCAGTCCAATGTCACGGTGACTTTTGTCTCACCAAGTGTTAATCGGAGGGACTATTATCACCCCGATTTAGGAATTCCTCAAGTTTCAACATGTTGATCATCAAACTGAATCTTTCATGTCGAAGGAAAATTTCTTGAAAGATTCTATATGGTTATCATCACATTAAACCGTATCTTTCTTCACAAGGGAAAGTTCCGTTTATTCAGTTTCCATATATTTCCGTTTTATATGTCATAGAGATGCAGTCCTTTTCTGAACTTTCTTATTAGGTGAGAGATTTGGCACCTCAACTCGCCGGGTGTTTTATCAGTTACGAATTTTATTCTTACTTTGCCTGTCATTCAATTCTGTTCCTTCTCTGTCACATTTTGCTAATGTCTGTTCAATCTTCATGCAATAATCAGATTTGAAAATTATGACAGCTTGTGGATTTGCCAAGACTGAAGATTAAGTGAACTGCCTATTGCAGGTCATATAACACAACTATTTTCATCGGGCAGCCACCAAAGCCTTACTTTGTTGATCCCGACACCGGTAGTGACGTCACATGGCTCCAATGTGATGCCCCTTGTAAACGATGCACTCCGGTAAATTTTAATAGTCTGCAGGTGTTATGTCAATTTATTCGTTGAACCTACGAATTCTGATCAATAATCCTAAAACTTTGTTTGGATGTTTGTTTCGAATGGTCTCAAGATGCCATGCAGGGTGAAAAATCCCGATGACTTCCATCATTTTCTCATTGCAGACGCCACATCCGCTTTATCGACCCAGTGGCGACCTAGTAATCTGCAGGGACCCAATTTGCGTGTCCCTGCATCCGCCTGGTTACAAATGTGACCACCCGGAGCGATGTGACTACGAGGTGGGCTATGCAGACGGTGGTTCTTCTCGTGGTGTACTCGTAAAGGATGTCTTTTCCTTCAAGTCCTCTGGTGGCGGGGTTCTCAGTCCTCGTGTGGCCCTCGGGTAGGTGACTTTGCATGCTCTCCCAGTTATGTTTGGCCAGGCTTACTGAGAATACCAACTCAGCATTTTAGCATGCCATACTTTCTTTTGGCCAGACCGGAATTTCTTCATTTATGACAGTCAGAGCCTGCTCAGATCAATTTTGCCTTCGTAACCATTTCTCATGCGGTTCCTCTACAGATGCGGATTTTATCAGCGACCCGGTCAGTCCACTCCTTTCTTAGACGGAGTGCTCGGCCTTGGTAAGGGAAAGTCCAGCATCGTGTCGCAGCTAAGTAGTCAAGGTTTGGTGCAGAACGTACTAGGCCACTGCTTGAGTGTGCGTGGTGGTGGATTTCTCTTCTTCGGCGATGATCTTTATGACTCCTCCCGCATCACGTGGACACCTATGTCTCGTGATTACTCGTATATTCCACTTCCTCCCACTTCTTCACCATCTCGATTTCTCTTATCTTTCATTTACTAAAATTGAACTTTCTTGTATGCATCTCAGTGATCACTATTCTCCTGGGACCGCAGAGCTCGTTTTTGCAGGGAAAGCCACTGGATTGAAAAATCTGTTGATAGTAGTCGATAGCGGGACCTCTTATACGTACTTCAGTTCTCAGGCATATCAAAGGTTAGCTTTTGCGGTGAGTAAGACGCAATCGTGAACTAGTATGTGAACATCGGGACACAATACAACATCATACTTAGCATGTCACTGTTCACATCCCAACATATCACCATCTTTTCGAGATTTTAACTGTTCTCCAGTTTTCTGGGGTACTAACGCCTATTAAATTTGAGAAATAATCCCTTTTACCAAAAAAAAAAATTTGAGAGATAACACCATAACGAATGCCCATTAATTGACTTCTCTCTTCTTTCAGGTGAAGGAAGAACTAAAGGGAAAGCCCTTCACCGAAGCATTGGACGACCCTACACTCCCACTCTGCTGGAGAGGCAGGAAGCCTTTCAAAAACATCCGCGACGTCAGGAGGTACTTCAAACCCTTTGCACTCAGCTTCAACAGTGGTGGTAGAACGAAAAACCAATATGAAGTTCCCCCTGAATCATATTTGATTATATCGGTGAGTGAATGCCTTTATCTATTAAAACTCTGGCAAGTTAGATATGCATGTCTTTCCTGAATTGCAACGGTTTTGGCAGCCCAAGGGAAACGTTTGCATGGGAGTTTTAAATGGAACTGAGGCAGGGCTCCAAAATACGAATGTGATTGGAGGTAAGAGTTTTCCATATGGTGGCATTTTTATCACGTAATTAGTTTTGCACCTGAGACATTGTCATAGAAAATTTGAAAGGAAGCAAATCATTGAAGATATGATTAGACAACGATAAAATGTCCTCGAAGATCATATCCATTCAGATGTACTGCACTATTGCAGCAAAGCAGATTTATTTCATTTAATTTGAATCTACCCTTGTTTGTCGGTTTTGCAGACATATCGATGCAGGACAAGATGGTAATCTACGACAACGAGAGGCAACGGATGGGATGGGCTTCTGCAGATTGCAGTCGACCTCCAAAGTCCAGAGCAACCGCAGCCTAATCGACAAGAAGCTCCTCATCATATCTCTGTACATCCAGATCAGAATAATGGAAGCCCCGTTCTTCAAACCAAGCCTAGAAGCTTATCATTGCCATGACTAACGTTTTCCTATTTCTTTCTGTACTGGATGTTATGTGTACAGCAAAATTGTTTACGAGTATACCCCTAGTGAACTCAAATACAGCCACGCTTAATAAGTATTGCCATGTTGAGGATAAGTAGAATCTGATGCTTATCCATACTCCAACTTCTTGTTCAGCCCAATGTTCCAGATTTTATCTACCTTCAGTTGAGTGAAGGTCAAGCCTAGAGGCATATTCCGCCACAAGGAGACGAATCGTTCTATGGTAGAAATAGGAGTTAAGATTGCTCTCATCTTCCTCAGCATCTATTTCACACTGATCAAATTAAAATTCTGTTGTTGGGCTTGCTGTTGCAATATTACGGCCTTGTTACTTGAGGATCTTCACTTTTAAGAAATCAAATGAAGAGAGCACAGGTGTATTAAATTGAAAAATCTGCATTTCTTGCTGCAATCTTTTCTTGTCTAAGTTCTATCACATTAAAAAAAAAGGTCATATCACATTATTCTTATAGTTTTCTTCTAATGGCGTAAGTATATAATGGTGATCCTGCAGCCCATGTGAGAAATTGCACGCCAACCCACTGAGAAAATTTCAAGTCACAGCCTGTCCTATTCCACCGGATGTCATACTTTTCACTTTCAACCCACCCAAAATCACATGGGGAAAAACGTTGATCCCTATCCTTCACCTGATGAGCTTTCAAACTCAAAATGAATGGTCAAAACTTGATGAGGGATAAACCGTTGAATAATCTGTACATACATATAATCAGTTTTGTCCAACCCATGAACATTAATTACACCAAACCAAAGCCAAACTCCAGCCCTGTCCCTTAACAAATGAACAGTCTTTATACCATTCTGATTCTGACAGCTATAATGAACTGGAACTAAATCCAAAGTAGGAGATATGTGAAAGAATTTAATACAATCCTAGGACATATAGAAGAATGTTCTCTACATGAACACGATTAAACATGATCCTAGGCCCCCACGACGAGCCAAAAACCCGACGGAACATCCGCCACAGGATTGAGCAAAGTTCAACGAATCAAGGCCACTGCAACAAAACCCATCCGCACCTCTTGAATAGTTACCATCTTTTGTCAAAGTCCAGCACACCCATCATAGCCAACCCAACCCATTGAATTTGAAGACTGCAATTTTATAATAAGTTTCTACTGCTAACCTAACAAGAATCTAATACTAACCTAACAAGAATGGGGCGAGATGCATCCAAGAATCTAATGTTTCTGGCCTTCCTTTTTCCTTTTTTTTTTTTTTGTGGGATCAGAATGGTTTCATGTAAAAGTCCTGCCATGGCGAGACCTGGACTGGCTGATACTGCACTTGAGCTGCAAAGGGTTCGTCTAAGAAGCAATCATCGATGAACTCGGACGCCCACTCGAGCTCATTCCATTTAGGATCGCTCTGGACCTCCTTCTCGCACGTGAAATCAGGTGATACTGCATGCTCTGAGCAGCTCGACTCTGTGTGCAACCTCGGAACCGAATCCGAGGTGTCCATGTGTAGAAGATCGTTGGTCATTGATGACTGCACGAGTTGTGACAGCGGCGGTGAGTATGAACTCTGGTTGAGCATCCACGGCTCTGGCTTCTTATCTTCCGATTCCGCGAACAGGACAGGCTTTTGGTCCGACAGGTAATGCTTCTCTATCTGACCTTTCTTGTTGTATATTCGACATAAGACCCAATCGTCAAGCTGTGAAAATAGCATATGAAAGCTCTTATTAGCCGAGATTTTCAGGATTAATTTCTGTCATCTATTTAATGGTCATAAACACAATCCACAGCAAAATCTTTTCTGTCCTCCAAAATTGGCTAACTGTTACACAGGAAAAATTAATTTTCCCTTCAGACTACAACCAAAAACTTAGCAATAACACTGGGGAAGAAACAATTACCCTCAAGTTCTTGCTCTTCTTGCTGGCTGATCGGTCAACATTTGCCAATCGGTACTCATGCATGATCCAATTGGTTTTCACTCCCTTAGGAGCTTTTCCAGCATAAAACACCAATGCCTTTTTGATGCCGAGCGGCTTGGGCCGTCCAATTGGCTTGTCGGCTCCGGTAGCTTTCCAGTACCCGGTACCGGCAGCCCTGTTCGGCCGTGAACCGTTAGGATATTTCCGATCCCTCGGAGAAAAGAAGTACCACTCTTTTTCACCATACGAAGCCATGTCTACACACAAAAAGAAAAGGTCGAAAACATATCAGCAGTGGAATTAGGCAAGTGACTGGGGAAAAATCGTCCAGATTTCAACCAAACTTGTTGAAAAATCACATTTTTCTTATGACCCACGTGTTTATTTAAATCATATCAACCATTCATCATGTAAATTATATCAGATAAGCATGGGAATGAGCGGTTCAGAGGAGTTTAGTTGAGCAAGAATTCATATTCTCTTTCTTTTTTCATTTTTTTTATTTGCCTAGATCTCACAAAATCAAATCTGTGGAAAAGAAAATCCATTCTTCTTTGTTGCATTTTACCGATTAACCACAATCCGAGCGAACAGCAACCAAATCGATCCAAAGAAAGGACCAGAATCTCACATCATGTGACTGCTCAGCACATAAGAAAAAACCCAAGCAAAGCAGAGGAAACATAACGGAGAAGATGCTTAGATATGCATAAAAATCCACAAACTATCCACAACAACACCGACCCAACATCAAGAATCACTCACCCAAAGAAAGAAACGAACCGTCCAAACAATCAAACTCTTAACGAACGTGCATAAAAAAAATCACAACTTTCGAACAAGAAAAAGCCCGGAACTTTCAAGCGCACCTGGAAGCTGCCATGGATCGAACTTGTAGAGATCAACCTCGGCAATGATTGGGACGCCGATGGCCTGAGAAGCGCATTTCCGGATCAAGTAGTGGTTCACCAGCTCGTCGTCCGTGGGGTGGAACCTGAACCCCGCTGGTAAGTTCAACTCGGCCTTCATTCACCTTCTCTCCCTCTCTTTCTCTCTCTGCGACCTCTCCTTCTCGTGGGGCTCGAGCGGCGAAGAGTGAAGACACACCCAGGAGCCAGAAACCTCGAAAGCCTCGGAACCTTGGAACGAATGAATGAATGAAGCGAAGGAGAGAGGGGAGAGGGGGGCGTTATATACTGAGAACCGGGCGTGCTCGAATGCGAAGGAGGGCGCCCTGGAGGCTGTATCTAAGGAGAGAGAAACCGGGCGCAGCCTTTGACGGGCGACACGTGTCGGAGGCTGAGTGGCGCTCCCAGCCCAGCACGTGCGAGCGCGGTGTCCTGGGAGGACGGTTATGTCAGCGCTTACATCAGCTAAACTGGCCAGGTTGTCGAAGTTGGCACAACTTGGCCCTTGGACATCATTGACTGGTTGCGATGATGTGGCCTCGCCTCTTCTTCCCCTTTTTTTTTCTCTCTCCCTGTGCTCTTCCTACGAAACCTTTGTACGTGTTGTGGAGTACACGTGGTGCTGAAAACATATTCTACTGACAGTACAATACAGTGTTGTTCTCAAGAGCATCGACCGAATGTCGAAATGATTTCTATTAGCATGCACTTGTAAATTATAATCCACGAAACTCTTCAAGTGCTTCTATCCGTTCGTTTGGCGGAAAATATTCTCGGAAAATATTTTCGGGTTTTCCAGTGTTAGGGGCGAAAAAGTTTTCCGGGAAAATATTTTCCTTCCCCTCACATAAAATAGCCAAGTCTACGGAAAATGACTTCCGCTTCTTAAATCGAAATCATTTTTGGCTTCTTCTTCTTCTTCACTAAGGTCATAGCCGGACTGGCCGTAGCGCATGAGCGGTCCATGCCACCGCCTCCGGCATTGCGCCGCGGGCGCCGGACGTTATTGTCGTCGCCGGCCGCCGCCGCCGCCGTCGCCGCCCGCCGAGACGCGCCACCGCCGCGGCCGAGCCGCTTCGCCGGGCGGAAAAATATTTTTAAACTTTTTCATATTGGTCGCAGAACACCGGAAAATTATATTGGAAAATATTTTCGGAAAATGACTTAGGAAAATATTTTCCAAAAGGAGAATATTTTCCGCCAAGCGAACGGAGCCTTAGATGCGCCGTAATCGACAAATGAATAAAGTTCTATTTGTTTCGTAAAAAATATAATATTTTTGAAAAATATTTTTTAAAAAGTCATTTTTCATGTTGATATTTTTTAATATATGGCTGAAACCTGAAAATATACTAATTTGTTTTTTCGTAATTTGATAAGGAAAATCTTATTTGAGTTTTATGAGTAGACATATAACTATTTAGGTGCTAATAATTTGCACATGGACAGTTGGGGAATTGGGCACGGACACCGGTGTCTCGAACTCGGATCCTCAGCTCCTGAGCACAGGCACCGGTCTTGAGTCCACGGAGGCTAGGCTCAAGACCCTGATGTCCTAACCATCAACGCCGAGCCCTGAACCCCTATGCCTGGGACTAGGTCCCTAACGCCTAAACCCGGGTCCGTCTAGGCAGGGTCGGGACCCCAACGCTAGTGTCGGGGATCCAAGCATGGATACCAGGGTCCCAAGCATTGCCTTGATGGATTCAAGCCTCTGAGCCTAGCCTTGATGAACCCGGGCTAGGTGTTGGGAACCCAAATACAAGCATTGGGGTCACAAGCCTAACCTTGATGGACTTGCATCTAGCTTTGATGGACCTAGACATGGGCTCGTGAGGTCTCGGGCCCGAATTTAATGGACCAAGGCATAGGCGTCGTGGACCCAGGCCCAGGCACAAGGGTCCTACGCCAGACCTAATATACTAGGGCTCGGCCTAGAAAGATTCGGGCATAGCCTCGATGGACCCAACCCTGGTGCCGGGGCTTGGGCCTAGCCTCAATAGTCCTAGGCTCGGGCACAGGCACTAAGGTCCCAAGCTCGACCTCAATGGACCCAGGCATGGGCGAGCACAATTGCCAAGGACCCGGTCCTGGGCACGGGGACCCAGGCACGAGCACCGGGATCGCGGAACCGAGCTTGGGCACCCGCCCTAGATGTCGTTGCCTTGGGAATGAGTTTTAAGTTCTCGTGCCCAAGCGTAGAGTTTCTGGTCTAAGCGTCGATATCTAGTTATAATTTGGAAAATGATTTTCATTTTTTAAATAGGAAATCGTTTTCTTGAATTTTAGCATTGATTTTCCATTGACCAGGAAAACATTTTCTGTTGACTCATTTTTCTAAACGATATAAACGTCGGAAAATGAGGAAAAGGTTTTTTTAGAAAATGTTTTTCGCCAAACAAATGGAGCTTAAATTTAAAATTGGCTTGTGCCAAAAGCTTATCTTCAAGAGAGAAAATGGGTTTAATATTTTCATTTGGATTTTTTTTTTCACAATCAAATTTGGGAAAAGGTCTGGTGTCGACCCTATTTAAACGCAAAAAGTGTCTCCACGAGAAGTTATGTATCCTTCTAATTATCTAGCGAACTATTTCTCAATTCGATTATGAAGTTGCTTAATGCGGAAGGTGATAATGCTTACCAAGGAAAGAACTTCACATATTACAAAAGTATCTTCATTCATTATCTGGTTGCAAATTGCAATCATTGGTCGATCTTTATCGAAGCTTAAATTCGGCTTGAAGGTAAAAGAATTTTTATCTGCTATATAACTTTTGTGCATGATGATACCGCTCACTAAAGTGTTCTGTGTAATAATTGTAAGGCAAGAATAATAAGCATTGGTTTCGTGTATTCAATCAAATATTTTTATTTGTTATGATTTTCCAAAGTCTATCAGGCAAGATTGTATAAACATTAAATGAAGATATCATTGCATAGACTCGGTGTACGAGGGTCCAACTCACATGCTGTCGTTAGATCACGTGGGTCCCATGTGATATGTGAGCTAGGTAAGGGTCCGAGTAAGGGTCGCCTAGTTCTGGGTGGTTCCCGGTTTCTAAAATTTGGAATCGGTGATAATTGGTTTGGTTCGCAGTTTCAAGTGTGGACCAAATCATACTGATAATAATTTTTTTATTGCCAAAAGGTTGGATAAGAGAACAAAAACAATGTATGTAGACACACTTGCACTATGCAAAAGTGTTCCATTCCCTGCAAAAACTCAGAAGCAACATTCTTTCCATTGCCTTATTCGACTCCATTGTTCCATTCTCTGCCGGGGAATAAGGAAGAAAAATAAGAATTGGTCCAGATCGGTCGGTCCGATCTAGGACCAGGTGGGCCGATTTCACAAATTGGGAACTGACCCTTTTGGTCCGATTTCCGATTTCGAGTGAGAACAGATCTACCTTGAAACCGATCATCTCAAAAGCTTAGGCTTGCACCGGGTGACGTGGACCAATCATACAGAGGAGCGTCATGGCTTAAAATCCCGTGGCTACCGATGTTTGGGGAAGCACGCGTCAGCGATATTTGCAGACGCAGGCAAAACACACGAACGTCATCTCGCGCGCTATATGCTTTTGGGTTTGACAATTGTCCTCATCCACCGTTTTCCTCTCCAAGCAATCTCCCTCTGTCTCTCTCTCTCTCTCTCTCTCTCTCTCTCTCTCTCTCTCTACATTGACAATGTGGACCCCACATTGACCATTTGCCTCCTCCATGTCCGCTCCTCTTTTTTCTTCTTTGTTTTTTTTTTTCTCTTTTTTATTACCCTTTCTCACTTGAGCATTTACAACTTCCTACTTTTGGTTAGAATTTTCAAACAAGAGTTATATACGTCTCGAAGCTCAGCCATGAACATATATATATCCATTGAGCTCGTGGATTGGTCTACAAAAATCTTATTCGAGACGACGCAATCTTAAACTAGTCGAACATGATTTGCGCTGTCCAACTCCGAAATTGACTCTACTCATAATTGAAGCGACAAAGTTATCTAGTTGTCTCCTTTGGCTAAAATGATGGTTAAATCAACATCATACGTTGTATGCAATCTATAAGTGTCCAATTCGAAACATTTTATTGATGTTTACACCTCCACCAGATACAAGCATTTGGGGAAGCACCATGAGAAAAGCAGCTTAAAATATTTCAAGAATGTTTTCTTAGACTATCTTAGGATGGATATAGAAATGAACATGGGAGAATGATATCTGGTGGAAGCTCTATTTGAGGATGACATATATTCGATTAAACTAGCTAGTTGTGGCCGTATCATCTTTTCCACTATCAGTTTTTTTCTGTCTTCAATGTCATTGCCCAAAATAGCTAAAAGGAATAGAAATATTGTTCGGCAAAAATTTCAAGGATAGACGGAACCACCATCAATATCTCGGCGTAGATGCGGGATGGGAAGCCCTATGGAGAATGTGGTCAGAAATCGACACATGTTCGATTCTCAAAAACCGACACCATCAAGTAGAAATAGTTTCATATTTAGTAGGGGTGAGCGGTTTCATGTTTCGTATAGGTTCCATCTAGAACCCGGAACCTATCCGTTGGAACATGTTGCTCATTTTTTGGAACTTAGAATTTACCATGCATTATGAATTGAAACTTGTGAACCCGTCACCTTTAATGTCACCAGTTGGGTTACAATTCGCTAACCCACTTGTATTATAAATTGAACGATTGCAGTGAATCGTTACCTTTAATGATCACAACTTGCTATTATAATCTACCGACCACAACATTATTTAGACATACGAAGAACATGAAACATTGATAAAGTAAAAATCTCAGTCACAAAATAAAAGCTCAGACTGGTGATTCTAGATTATACAATCATCATCGGACGCCATGAAATACCGCAAAATCACTTGAAGACATAGACAAAGAAAAATACAAAAACTTTTTACAAGTTCCATGTTCCATCTATCTAAAATCCTAAACAAAGATACAGGCTCACCTAATTTTGGAAGCCCGAAACCAACCATTGTATACAAACGCGCCCAAGGTATCGATCCATTACCGATTCCTTTTTGCCTGCACATGCTCACCCCTTAATATTTAGCACTAGTGTTTTTATAGGTTCGAATTTCACCTATCTAAAGTATGCTTTCTTGTCGAAAAAAGAAGAAAGAAAAAGCTAAACAAAGATACGGAGGCTGCAAGAACAGGCTTCTCAAAGAAGCTCAAAACTTCCCATGACCACTTTGATTGTTATAAACAACACGCGTTTTTCCCATTAGCTTT